GTGAAATACGTTTCTCACCAATACACCCCCGTACTCACCTTGTCAGTGGCCTAGTGATGGAGGATCCTCCCTAGGACTGGGAGATCAAGGTTCAAATCCCGGTCTGGTCATACCGACGGCTTTAACAATGTGACCCAAAACCTCCCTGCTTGACACTCAGCTTTAGGGGGTTGGATTTGAAGGTTAAACCACCAAATAGTTCCTGAGCGCAGCCACCGCTGCAGCTCTCCGCTTCCCACTGGGATGGGTCAGATGCAGAGATGTAATTTCACCAGTGTGTGATGATGACTAGGGAACTTTAATGGGACTTTACTTGAAACTCCAATTTTTGGTAAGGACCCAAGATGTTAAAAGGGTCAAAAACTCAAAGGGCGATTTGAATCACTGTGTCATAGTCTTTGGAAAAACAACGGTAGCCGTAAGCTTCAAACACCAGATGGATGCATGATGGCAAGCAGGAGCGCTGCCATTACAAGTTTTATTGTAAATAAATAACAAGAGAAGTCCAACTGTGTTCTTGTGTGTGTGTGTGTGTGTGTGTGTGTGTGTGTGTGTGTGTGTGTGTGTGTGTGTGTGTGTGTGTGTGTGTGTGTGTGTGTGTGTGTGTGTGTACGTATTTGTCACTTTGGGTTTGGTCAATCACGGGCTTTAATAAAGCCATGCCCCCTGGTTCCCACGGCGACAGAGTGCATCATCACGCTGGTTCACACTCACACACACACACACACACACACACACACACACACACACACACACACACACACACACACACACACACACACACACACACACACACACATCATGCCAACTTGCATTACACACAACTGATGGCCTAAAAATCTCTAGCAGTATTACTGTCACACAAGTAACAAACACATGCATCAGACCTACAGCTGGACTCAATTCATGTCTTTGACCTGTGATGGTTTCAGATGTGGCTTTTCTACTTTTTAGGACATCTTGTGCTTAAAAGCACAAATGCTGTTTTTTTATATATTTTTTTCAAGTAATTGTGACGTGGGGCTCGAGGCGTTGCAGAAGACCCACTGCAGTTGCAACAATAATGTACACACACACACACACACACACACTTTTCTGTGAGGTCAGGTGTCCTTCAGCAAGTTTCCCAGTGATGTCAGCAGCAATTTGGGTAAGCTAAACTTTATTGACAAGGTTGCTGACAATGGTCAACAAAGAAGAACGTGCCTCATGGGAGCAAGTCTTCCTGCCCTCTTTTCTTCCGTCTTTTCTTGTGTTTGTGTCGTATTCTATATAAATAACTTTTCTGCTTTTTCATTAAACTTAAATAAGAAAATCCATCAAAAGATCTTCAAATGAAAGGCATTAAACAGAAATGAATCAGACATGTGGGTTGGGTCCCAGTTTTGATTTGTTTTGTTTTTGTCATTTACATTCGACCCAAAAACTGATGAAATGATCAGAACACGTGATTAATAATAAACAAGGATGGTGACAACAAACCCAACATGACATATTTGAATAACATCACTTATGATGTGTTTTTTTAGGTTGTCTCTGCAAATGACAAATAAAATCGTTCCTACGCGTGTTTCATTTTTACTTAATGTTCCAGATTTCACTTTTATTCGTGCATTATGTACCTAGAAGCTTTTAAATGCAACACACAGTGTTTTTATTGGGTTGAATGTTTTTTTTTATTCTGGAAATAATCATCTGAGTTTTTACTTTGTTTTTTTACTCATTGCTCAATCATCAAGTTGTTTACTTAGCTCATCTGATAGTGTTGCAAGCTGACATGTTGTTGACGTCGTTGGTTTTTCTGAAGTCGGTTCAACATTCATTATCTGAATTCAGCTCTGTGTGTGTGTGTGTGTGTGTGTGTGTGTGTGTGTGTGTGTGTGTGTGTGTGTGTGTGCGCGCGCTGTCAAACTTCACTATTTCATCTGTTGCTAAACAGACTCTTCCCAGCATGAGCCTCCTGACAGCCAGATTCAGCACACGCATCCACACGAAGAAAAAAAGGCGTCAACAATGCAAAAATAACTACTATTGAACAAACACACACACACACACACACCGTATCACAACGGCACACGTTTTTAATTTAGATAATATGGTTGCCACTTTGTTTTGTGACTGACGTTAGCAAAACAAAAATATGTTAAAATGTTTTTTTTCTTTTGAAGACGACGATGCTTCCTGTTTGGGTCCCAGGAATTAATCGATACGACCTGCTGTATATTGGAGAGACCGTGTCTACATTTGTGTGGAGAGTGATTAATACACTGATGTGGTTGTGTGTGCATTTCTCATGTTTGATGAATCTGCGGTGTGCCGTGGTTTATGGTTGTCGGCTACAAATCTGTAACCATTTGCTTTGATCTGACTGACCATCATAATTCCATTACTGTTATGTTTATGTCCACACACACACACAGTGAGATTTATCTTGTTACTCCGTTCTTGCCCATCGATAAATCTAAGATAACAATGACCAGAGGTCTTCGGGCGTCTCTCTTTATATTAACCCGGTTCTAATTTAACCGTGAAGTAGACCACAAATCCCAACCAGAGTCCTGGCGTCTCGGCTCCGATCTCCCCAATCTCTGCAGAGTGATTTTTTGCAGACATACTGGGGAGTGAAGGGTAAATATCATTCTCACAAATCAGAGCTGGTAGGTGGATGCTGCAGCGGTTGCAGGGATAAGCGGGCTCGTCGGGTTATAATGCAGATTTATCAGGATTTACTGGAGGAGGAGTTCTTGGAGTGCATTCAAGCACAACTTATTCTCGGAATACTTATGAATACACCTACAGTCTTAAAGAATAACAAACTTGTGATGTAATTCATTACATCACTACAAATACTTCTTTACAGAGTATTTATCTGTTAGCTGACTTTTTACTTCTGCTCCTTGAATGTTTATGCAGTTATCTGAGCTTTCTACTTCTTAAATTGTAAAGCTACACTGTCGTAAACAGCCCTGCAGCAGCATGCTGTAGCTAACACTAACAAGCTAACACTAACATGAGCAACAAAGCCAGGTCACAATCAGGCCATGATTTTGTAGCCTCCTTTAGCTCCCTCCAACTAGTGTAGGCCACGCCGATATTCACTCCGGTTTTAGCTCTTTGCGTCACCTACAAAGACGTTACTCTTTCACTTTTACTTCCAGGCTCTGCCATGATGCCAGCAGAAAAATTCTTCATCATGTGCTTTTGTGTTGTTGAACTTAAAAAGCTAGCTGCTAACCTTTATACTAGCTGCTAGCACAGAGAACAGCTACTGCCATAAGAAGCTGAAGATGTTTTTTTTTTTCTATCGAGTGAAGAACACAAAATCTTGCGACAAGTCACCGTCACAAAGAAGGAGTCAAAAATATAATCTGTCGTAAAAAGAACTAGGGCCCGATCGGCCGATCTTGGGATCATTAACAGTATCGGCTATCGGCCAAAAAGACAGCCGATATTGCGCTACCTTTCCAGCAGATGGCGCCAGCTTTATGAACTCGTGTTGTGTGGCTCTACTCCTTTGAACTTTGAACACATATTATTGTTTTGGAACTTTTTTAATACTTATTTATAGGGATGCACCGATACCTCTTTTTTCCAAACCGATACGATACCGATACTTGGATCTGAGTGCTCGCCGATGCCGAATACCGATACCGATACTTCCACCACACAAAAGCATGCATTGATTTGGAATACAGATTTTATTTTCTTCTCTGCTTTCAACAGGAAAATACTGTGAGGTAGATAAAAAGTAAAATATATGAATGGAAATCATCACAAAACTAAAATATTAGGTGAACAGAAATGACAAGTTACAGTGAAGCCATTTTCAAGCAACTGCATTGGTATCGGTTAACTTTTACCGATACCGATACTGGTGTTGGTATTGGTATCGGCACAGATACCGATACCAGTATCGTATCGGTGCATCCCTACTTATTTATGTTTCTTATATGCAATTATTTCCTGTCCAGGGTGAATAAGTTCACCAAGTTAACTTCCACAGAGTGTTACTTTGTTGCAAAGCACAAGTATTACATTTTATTTATTGCTGCATTTTTGTTATTTTAATATTCTTATAGGGATCTTCTGTCCCTAAACTTGTGTGTGTTGTTAGATTCCCCAGAGTTAGCTAAGTCAGAAAAAACATTTTGTAACCAGTTGTTTTAGCATAAAGCAATGGAAGGGAAGGCTTGCATTCACCTACATAAAAACACTACAATGTGTGTGAATTCAGTTACATAGTTTTATGCTAAACTAAGAAAACCAACTGCTGCCAGATCATATTGGGCTGGTTATAAAATGCTTTTTCTGACTTGTCTAACTCTGGGGAATCTTAACAAGACACAATTTTACTGAATGGTGGAATATTCCTTTAAGTTAAAATGTATTTGTGGAAACCAAAGTTTACAAGAAAAAACTTGAATGTTAGATTTATGCTGTGACTGAGTTTGTGTGTTCTGCTGTTTTTGAGATCTGCTAAATAAATCTCATTTGCATTACTTGGAAACCCTAGTGAGTATTGAGACAGTTCTTTGGTGTGTAAGAGAGAAACAAGTTTGCATCAAAAAGGCAGAGAATGAAGGGTTTAAGCTTAAGAACATTTTTTATTTCTTTTTTTTGTGAGGGAGATTTATCGGCCATTATATCGGCTATCAGCCTTTGTTAAAAGTTTTAAATCGGTATCGGTCCCAAAAAAAGCATATCGGTCGGGCCCTAAAAAGAATTGATTGTATGGATCACAGCTATGATTAGCGCTTCAGGACATTGTTTTTCAAAATAAAATGCAGTGTTAGTTTTTACCAGACATTAAAAATGAGGCTGTTTACACAGCTTAGTTGTTTGTCACAGATAAATATTAGTAGTAGTAATTCTGTCACTAATCACTGATGATGATGATGATGATGATGAGAAATGATTCTGCCCGACGACAAAAATAAAATTTATCAATAGCATCACGCTTTATCGTTTTTAATCCCTCTTTCATCTCGTTCTCTCCTCAGAGCCCCCACACCCAATCGCCCCACCCCAGCTGTTAGGTGTCGGACCCACATACTTGCTGATTCAGCTCAACGCTAACTCCATATTTGGTGACGGACCAATCATACTCAAAGAGGTCTGTTACCTGTGAGAGGGCAAAGATGAACATCGTCCATGAACGTGAATGATTTCTGATTACAAGCAGACCCTTGAAAATGGTTTACAACATTTTTGTTTACTTCAGGTTGAGTACCGGATGACATCAGGCAGCTGGATAGAGACCCACGCTGTGAATTCTCCCAACTACAAGCTGTGGCACCTGGATCCGGACACGGAGTACGAGATTCGAGTGTTGCTGACTAGACCAGGAGAGGGCGGCACGGGCAAGGCGGGACCACCGCTCATCACACGCACCAAGTGTGCAGGTAAGACAGCAGCGCTGCTGTGAAATATGGCTGAAAAGGTAAAACGAAGAAATGTTTGCACAATGAGCTGAGATGCAGGAGTAGAATTGGAAAGAAAGGATCAGTCTGGATGCTCAGTCATCTGAAAGAAAGCTATGATTACAACTCTGGAGCTTTTCTACACCTTTTATCCCGCTTTTCTTCTCTCATTCCTTCTGTCTCCGCTGCCACTCCTCCCTCTATACATCTCCCCGCTTCATTCCCACTCGCCGCCTTTCCCCCTTCCCTCTCTGTGGATCAATAGACGGAGGGCAGAAACTCTGTCTGACATTTGTAGAAATAAACGACTGAAATATAAACACAGCCAGCCTGGGGGGGGTAGAGAGAGACGGCACAGGCAAAGAAAAAAGGTTGATATGAAAGAGAGAGACAGAAATAAAAGCAATGAGCCTGAATGAAAAACAGAGGAATGATGAAAAACAATAAGGCAGGAAAAGAACGAGAAGAGAAAAAAGGAGCAGGGCGAGAGAGCGAGAGGCGAGAAAATGATGAAACTGGAGAATAAAAATGAAGGAGATGAAGACTCATAACTACAACGCCTGACGGATGTGTGCCAACCTCTGAGTGTGAGAGGGAAATGTTCTGGTTTGTGTCCTCTCGTTTATTGACAGAGTGGAAGTCACAGACTTGTTTTATTGAACCGTTTCCTGTTTAACAGGAAGAGGAAATTAATCTCGTCTTCATCCAAGCTGGAGCACATCTGCATCAAAAGCATCACTTGATTGTAACCTTATCTCCTCAGCCTCCATCGGGCCCTGCAGGAGCTGCTAATCACTCGTTTTAATCAAATCTGCAGTGTTCAAGCAGGGAAACGTCTAAAACCTGCAGGAATCCGGCATTAGTAAATGGCCTGTATTTGTATAGCGCCTTCGAGTCCTGGAACCCCCCCCCCCCCCCCCCCCCCCCCCAAGGCGCTTTACAACACAATCAGTCATTCACACATTCACACACTGGTCGGGATGAGCTACGATGTAGCCACAGCTGCCCTGGGGCACACTGACAGAGGCGAGGCTGCCGAGCACTGGCGCCACCGGTCCCTCCGACCACCACCAGTAGGCAACGTGGGTTAAGTGTCTTGCCCAAGGACACAACGACAGCGACAGATTGAGCGGGGCTCGAACCTGCAACCTTCCAATTATGGGGCGAGCACTTAACTCCTGTGCCACCGTCGCCCCACCACGGCGGTTAGTGATGCTAACACACCCCTGCTATCACTACAACATGCTAAGAAAAGAGTCTAGTGTAGAATTAAGTTGAACGCTATGCTAATCACTTGGCTCCAGTAAACAAAAGTTAAATGCAGTCAGGCTCTTCCATAGCTATCTTGAAGTTTACAGACTGACATTTATTTAGTGCAGGTCAAGTTAGCATTCATGCTAGGTCAGCGTGCTAAGCTGCCTGTGTTTCCTCACAGTGCATGCTGGGAACTGGGGTGCATTCTTGTAGACGGGTCAACGCTCTAGACCAGGGCTATTCAATTCCTGGCCTGGAGGGCTAGTGTCCAGCACATTTTAGTTATAACTCTGCTTCAACACACCTAATTTCAGTCAGCAGGTGATTAACAGGCTTCTGCAGAGCCTGATGAGCTGCTGCACAGGTGATTCAACCACTGAAACATGTGTGTTGGAGCAGAGGAACCACAAAAATGTGCTGGATACCGGCCCTGGAGACCCGGGATTGAATAGCCCTGCTCTAGACTCACGTAATGATTTGTTTTGATGTAGACGCCAGGGGAGGGGCTTAGGGGAAATATAAATTATGAAAGATTATCTACTTTATTTCCGAGTCAGATCGTCACATTTAAGCATTTTTGAAGTTGAATGTTTAAACAACGTACCCCAGATTTTAGCTAAGGCAGTTGTTTGAGTCGTACTTTTTCCAGATCCCTCATTTTCTTTAGTCTCATTCTAATGGCTGTAAACGGTTAACATTCTGCGCCAATTTACTCTCTAATCAACATAGGCACCAGCTTTCTACGGCACGAGCAAGATTCACTTATTTAAAAGAGCCGGTTCACTGAGAAACTGTTTTTTACTTATTATTTTTTGAAAATGATCAGTAACTCTTGAGTGTTTCATGCAGGCTGAACATGAATATAGTCTCATACACCTGTGTCCTGCAGTAGCTTCTGATAGAAAACAGACGGTGAAACTCATTGTCACTAACATTCATGGACTCAGCCATCCTGACTCACGATGGGGAAGGCTGCTGTTGGTTTAGCATCCAGGAAACAGCAGAGAACGTCTCAGCTAGTAGAAGCTAACTGTTAGCATTAGCAACTCCACCACACAGCAGAACTCATCCAGGCTTGTGTTATTAGTGGAGATGAAACATCAACGTTGGTGAGCGAACAGAGTCAGTGGTAGAGTTGTGTTGCTGTTAGCCAATCAGAGCAGAGATGTCCAATTATCAGGAAATAAGACTCCAGATCCTGTCATCTGAAGCTCCTTTCGCCTCCGGCTGACGTCTTCGTCCTCAAACCGGCGCACCAGAGCTTTTGTTCCCCAGAAAACACATTACATTACAACTTATAATTTTAAAGTTTGAATTCTGGCTGAAATAATCTCCCTCCATGGGAAGATGATGGCCAACCAGCTGAGAAACTCAGTTATCTGAGGATAGTTCAGAAATGAGCCACTGGTATTCAGCATCAAAAGGCAATCTAGACGTCTGCCTCCAGGTGGCATCCATCTGGAGGTTTCCCGCACTTGGATAGGAGACACCAATGCAGACCCACAACTTTCTGAGGGGAACAACATGTCTCGTCTTTCTTGGGAAAACCTTGGACTCCATGAAGATCTGGGGTGCATCACTGAGGAGAGGAAGGGCCATAACACGTCTCCATCCTGCTTTAAGGGATACACTAGTTAATGAAACTACTATGTGGCCTTTAGCAATTTAACAGCTGCTAGAGACGACTGCAGATGTATTAAAAACACGAGTAAAGTTTACCTTTAAAGTCAACATTATTGCATGATATTAGTTTGCATTAATCATGTGTGCATGAATATCCTGGACCGGAGTAAGAACACAGTTTTGCTGTAAAAGGAGAAACTTTTCCAACCTCCTGCAGCCTCACCTGATGGCCTGATGTTAACCTGACATTTGAAAAGAGCCCTTGAGAGTGTTGGAGGCGTGGAGAAGTGAGTACAGAATGATCAGTGGCAAACGGCTTCCTTCTGCACACACAAATGTACAATAACAAGGTGACCCAACCCCCAAAAGTAGACCTATGAGTTGACCCAGGGTCAAAGTTAACCAGCACCTTGTTCTAGCTTTACCACGCTGACTACGTTTGCTGCTTTTAAAACATCCGTTGGCTTTTTTGTTTGTGTGAAACACGATGTTCGAATGATAAACACACCAACTGGACCCGGTTATTTGAAATGGAAAATGCAGCATGCATGGTTATCAGCTGGTAATGACACTAAATGGTTATTAACGCTCTCCTCCGATTCAGGTTTTTTTTTTTCTCTGAAGCCATATTTTCGTGCCCGCTCCCACTCACATGCAAATGTAAATCACCTTTAGAGTGTTATTAGGTATGTTTGTTATGAGACCGAAAGCCACACAGGCACGAGGCAGAAGATGTTATTTAAATGTTAATTATCCCTTTGCCTTCTCTGTTTGGTTATGTCTGTCTGATGCCACCACCTGTAGTTTTCTGGATATTTAATTTGATATAACACCGAGGACACAGAAACGCACTCGCTCGGGCAATATTTGCTTCAAATATGACTCGTTTAACTGGAAAACAACTTTCTGAGTAGAAAGAAGAGAAAATATTTTACATTTTCTGTTTCTTCTGTCGTCTGTTTCCCTCTCTACTCTGTTTTCTATTTCTACGCTCTATCGTTCTCTCCACTCCGACTCGTCTCAAATTCTCTTCTTGGTGATGTATTGCTCTTGTCTGAAGGGGGAAAAATAATCAACTTGAAGTGAAGGCTAGTGTGTGTGTGTGTCTGTCTGTCTGTGTCACTGGAGAAAATGATGAAGTAGCTTTTAATCCAAATCCCGTATTTTCTGCGGAAACCTCTTGGTCATGGCAGGTTACACACACAAAAACCACAGTCACACACTACAACACACACTAGTACAAATGTGCAAGCGCACATTTTCACGTATGTTGGACAAACTCAGCACCACATAGATTTAGTGAAGAACAAACTGGACATTTTCAGACACACGAGCACAGATGTCATTAGAACCTTGCACCGTACTGCATATAACACACACACACACACACACACACACACACACACACACACACACACACACACACACACACACACACACACACACACACACACACATCGCTTGGAGCACTGTAACAAACTCACAGATTCCACTTTCGTGCTCTCTTTAGACTTTTATTCAGTGTTTCAGAAGCTAACTTGTAAGAGTTGGAAATGCTACATTTGCCCTAATTGGACAGTTCAACTCATCTAAGACACATGTGTCAGACACAATGCTCCGCGGGCCACATCTGGCCCACAGAGCATTTTTATGTGACTCGCGAGATAAATATCAAAAATATATTAAAACTGACCTGATGGCCGATTTTACCGCAAAGACTACAACTCCCATGATGCTTTGCGGCATTAGCGCGGAGCCGAAGCGCCCCCTCCTTTGTGTTTTTTCCAGCGTCTGCAGCTCCGCTGTCTCGGACAAACTAAACACTCCTCTCACTCAGCGCCGAATTTACTCAGCTATTTGCCAACGTTGAAGCCCAGAAACGGAGATTTTAACCGCTCAGTAATGTTTTCACGACTGAAAGAGAAAATTTTCAAACTAACTTCCAGACAGAGCTGATATAACTCCAGCGAGCAGCAACACGCTCAAACCAGCATGACTCTGTGGCTGCTGTAGTCGTTGTTTTTCCTCCCCAACACACAACAACGTGGTCAAGCTGCTCAGACATGTTCATCAGCACAACCCTATGTGAGCAGCTGTTGTCATCT